TCAGATGTCATCGTTATAACACTAGCGACGCTGAACTCGTCGTTATAACACTTTGCACCACTCGTAACGTTGACTGCTTAAACAGACAAGGTAAGACACCAAATTTTTGCCATCACAGCGATATGGTTGCTGTTAGCCAAAGATGAACAAGTGTAGGTCGCGTCAAGAAGACCGTGAAGGATTGGATCAATAGTTGCAAGTCTTAGAGAAGGTGCGGGTCACGATATTGGAACTTTCTTACAGATAAATTGAAAAGGGCATAGTAAATTTTCACAAACCTGCCAAGCCCATCCCTTTGAGGATTTCACTTTTGTTGGTTGGGGAAATTGCACAGGCGTACAGCATCGGACCTGAAATTGCGCAAAAGTTGGCTGAGCAGTGGCGACAAAAAGGAGACTCGAAATGGCGCAGAAAGAAGCAGGAGAAGGGTGGATGGGAGTGCCAAGACGACAGGCTAATGCATGAAAGAAAGGTTTAGGCCGAAATCCAAATAAACGAAAAATAGAAGAAGAAAAAACAAATCAATGGAACAAACAGTCAGGATTACTCACCTGGCCCCCTCGGATAGGACATGGAAATCGGAACGCCCCACACAACAAAACAATAGACTTTGTGCTAAGTTACATGAAGGGTAAATAGTTCTTGTCTTAACCCTAACCTCAACCTTTATCGTGATCCTGATATTAACGCTAACTGGACGCTTAGCCCTAAACCCTAATTTTCGTGGAACTTAGCGTCAAGCAATAGGTATAACGGGCGGTTCCCGCTTCCATGTCCTGCCCGAAAACTATATAAGTCGTCCTTACCGATGTCCGAAAAAAGTCCGAGCTCGAATCCCTGTTAACCAGACCTAGGAATAGTACATGACTGACTTTTAATAGAAACTGGACGTTCCAGACGTGCTATTTCAGTATACGGCCTTTTTATTGGCACCTAGGCTAGTGGCTGTAGTGTATAGCGTCTTAGGCAGCGGCTTGGGCAGCCGCGACTATCTAGACGGACGGGTGTGGCCGAACCTAAAAGCCGCTACCAAAAAAAGAGGCTTGCATGACTCAAGTCTCGCTGGTCAACGGCGCAAGCACTCAACCTCCGCTATGCCGAAAACAGTACTAATGGATATACAGGGCACGCGCTTGCTCGTCCGGATATTTTCACACCCAGTGCAATGTCATGGCAACCAACCCGTCTATACTTTCATAAAATACCAACACTGGCGTCATCAGTGAGGACACTCCAGCTGCTCTGACCTCGAAAACCACCCTTAGTGTCTCACCAGCAAGATCGGTGCAGTCCTAACTCGTTCCTACTGCGAGTGCGCTCT